TCTTCCTGCTCAGGCTAATATCCGTATAATGGTGGCAGTAGCAATAGCATCTCTGTGGGAAAATGAACGTGCATTAATTTGGTATATTCAGTGGTACTGCCAGTATCCTTCAGAAGTCCTTCTCACACCATTCCTTTTCACTTCTATGACAATACTATTAATCAGAAGAGCTTTAAGTTTATTCTTGAAAACATTTTTGGGGAACTAGGAGTGTGAAAATTCTTCAAGTCTGTATTTTCTTCTCCAAAAAAAAATCTTGGGTCAAGCAGTTTCGACTTGGCATAATACTGCCAATTTCTTCTGTTTCTCTTTTTTACTATAGTCGTATGTTATTGCCACTAAAAACATCAAGCAGGGATCGCTCTGTATTCTTTTGTTCATGATTTGCTGTGCTAAGTAAAATAATTGTTTTGAAAGTATGGTATTAAGTTTTTTATCAAAAGAAGGGATCATTTTTCATTTATTTATCCTTAAGTTTTAGTAAAACCTACATGCTGATTAAGTATCAACAGTCAGCTGCTTTCCATATTCTGGAAATATAAAAAGAAGTTAACTTTTTTGGCTAGCATATAGTATATAGTAACAGTCTGAAGATCTTTTAAAATAAAATATACAACTTCTGCCTGCTGCTTTGAGAAGTAGAACAATCTCTAAATTTGTTAAAATAATTTGTCTCCTCTTAATTCAAAAGAGGTTTTGGGTGTAAACTCTGTTTTGCCTCCACTGACTAAGGATAATTCAGTCATCTCAAGTGACTGAACCACCTCAAGTGTTTCAAGACAGTCAGGCCCTCTCATGGGCTACTGAATGGGCTACCAAATGTGGACTAACAGAAGGAAATCATTGAAGAACATAAAATGTGCTGAATAAGAGATGGGTGATGGAAGAAGGATGTGGTGCACTTGTTATTCAATGCTGGTAATCTTTAGTTTTTTTTTTTTCCTCCCTATGAAGTTGTGCCAGTGTAGGTGAATTATCCACATTATTTCAAACTTTATCAAGAGGTCCCTTCCAACCTTAAGGATTCTATGATTCTAAGTACCCTTCAGTTTATGAATAAAGGTACTGAGCTGTATGCTTTGAAATTATTAAAAGCAGTTTTTATTGGAGTTGGTAACTGTTTCCCTACTCAAGGCAAGTGCAGAGAAATTTATTAGCTCCATGCAGTGTTTTCTGCATTGCAACAATGCCTTTTCAAAGACGGAAAGATGATGACTGTGTTCTTACTTGAAATGTGTTATTTATTGCTCTGTTCTTTATACTTCTGCATCTGAAAATCTTTTTCAAAGGTCTTTGTGTAAGGTATAGGTCATCAATCATCTAAGAGCACAAAACAATTAAAACATTCTAAGCCCTTCACAGATCCCAATGATTTTGGAAAATTCCATGGATTTTGTAATACTGGCATTACAGACGAGGCCCAAATGTTCTTGCTTCAGGGGCAAATATGTTGCAAGAGCTACCAGAGTAAGTCACAGAGGCGGGAGTGAAAACTGACCATTTTTCATGGCTTTTTTTAATTACCTAGTGGTCAGTTAATAGGTGTGTCTTAAACCGCGGAGTGACAAGCTTTGTTGAACAAAGAACAGCAGAGGAGAAAAGAGGAAGTGATGTAGAGAGCAAGTAAGCATGTGGTAGGCATAGAGTGAGGAAAGTCAACATGGGAAGAAGTTTAATTCACAAAGATTATTCCTTAAGAGAAATATCAGTATATTCACTGCAACATCAATCTCCTTGGCATCCCATATATACAGTATGCACACCTGCCTTCTCTTTGGCCCTTCCACTGGCTCAGTGAAATCACGGCTGAAACCCTTTGACTTTATTTTTGTAGGGATGAGTGACGGAAATGATGCTGCTGCCTAACCATAGTATCACATTGCCATCTGTCCTGCTCAAAATAAAAGCATTTTGAAATGTTTTTAGGATTGCAGTTCTCCAAACGCTCAACCACCTATTGCCAACCGCTATAGTGTTTACAAGGCAATGCTTTTATTGCTTCCTCCCACGTAAAGGAAGCAGTGATGGGACAGAAATTCATCCCTAGATGACAATGTTGTTTGATTCCAAAACAAACTGTCTTAAAAAAAAATTTTTAAATGAAACAGGACATTTTCTTCTGTACAGTTATTACTATGTTTGGTTTTAAATCTCTTTTCAAATATTAAAACTAAATCAGACTTTCTGTCCTAGCAATGTCTCAAGTTGCAGAGCATGACAAGTTCGTGCACTACCTCTTAGCGTATAGCGAAATGCTTTAATCGTATTTACCTTCTGGTATTATACTGGATTTCCAGAGTCTCCTGCATAACCACATCTCTTTAGTGCTTTCCTTTTTGGAAAGAAAAGAGCGGAGGAGGGAGAGACTAGATGAAAGTAAGGAACGGAACAACCTAATCTCTCAGGGCAGACATTAGTTTGTCAGTTTGGTAGGTTGGGGATTGCAGTCTGGTGTTAGCAATATAGTGTTTTGCCTGAACCCCTATGTGCAGCTCCTTGTATCTCCCTTTTTCTTAAAAGTCTTTACGCAGCAGACTGCAACATTGTGAACCCAAGCTAGTGGTATGCAAAGTAGTTTGTGAAATTAGTAACTTAACTGCTGCTGCAAGATCTCATGTAGTGAAAAGTAAAGTAAGTTAGTCCTTGTTGAGGTCTGGGCTGTGATGGGTGCAGCCACCTTGCTGCACCTATCTCATTCAAAGCTGTTTTGAGTATTCGTTGTATTTTGCAGGGCTTGGAGCTTTTCCAGTCCTGAAGTTTTTCCACTGACAAAAAGTGAAAGGTGAAAGGTGTTAATAAGTGAGGTGTTAAGTCAGGATTAATACTGCTGTTGGCCAGTTTCAGCTGTTCCAACTGAACAGCTGTGTGGGTAATATACAGATGACTTAAGTATTATAGGCTGAAAATAAACACTTAGGTACAGCGTTAAGCATTAAGGTACAATTGCATAGATTTGCTAACAGCATAGTTCTTCTAGTTGACTAGAGTTGTTTGTCCCTGGTTGTGATCAACTGCCCTACTCTTAAGTTGCCATCTTTGGGAAGCTTCTCCGCTAAGCTTTGAAGGAGAATTAAGAGCTTTAGCATTTTGTGGCTAAATATTATTCAGATTATAATATAAGATAATATGACTAATGTTTTAAAGCAAAGGCTTGACTATCCAATATAATGTGTCAATATAAGTCCCCAGATCTTCATTTAGTATAGATAAGCATCGTAGATCAACTCCACATTCATTCCCATGTGCCTATGAGAAATTGAAGAGCACAACTGCTTCACAGTAAAGATGCGTTGCATTTATAATATGCTGTGGTTTGCGATGCTGTGAAACTTCCAGGATATTGCTTGCAGGAAACATAAGCTGTGCTAGCTCTTGAGTAGCATTACCATATTTTAATATTTTCTGCCCACAGAGATTCATACGCCTTGCTGAACATAATCCATTTGTGGTTTTTGCTTGTTGAAATTGATTACGCTCACAGAAGTGCAAGACTGAAAATTGGGAGCACGATGCAAAACTATGGCTTTGTGAGAACTTCAGTGAACATTTTGCCAGTTTTGGCTGGGAAGTATTACAGCCAATATTGCTACTTGGAAGTAGGAGTTATTTAGGTTTTACTTTTGAATGAATTTGATACCTCTCAAATCTGTAGTTTTTAAACATGCAATAGTTATAACTCAGTCTCTTTGAAGAAATGTTAATAGCAAGCCCATTCAGTGGGAACAAAATATGCTTCTGTTTTAAGGATACCTTAGGGAGGAAAAAAATCACATAGATCATGTAGCTGTTTGAAGACATGGGAATAAAGCTCTTCTGGTTAGAGAATGTGCTCCTTTTTCAGCTTGGTTGTGCCACATGTCAGAGGGCAATTCACCCTGGCAGTAGAGAGGTGACATACCATCACTCTAAAATAAAACATGCCCATGATGATTTTTTAAAACCAAATGAATTGGTTTCTAATTTCCACATAATAACATGTAAATAAAAAGTAGAGTAAAAGATTTTTCTCTCGTCCAGTGATGTTGCTGGGCTTTGAAATCTGACATGCTGCCAATCTAGCTATGCATATTGCTAGATAGTATTTCCCAAGTCTAGAACAACTTATATAGAAGGCTATGTTCCTTTGATAGGGACTTAATGGAAAATCTTGCCGATACTACATGTGCTAGCATTAACTGAAACAGGTCTGTGCTTGTCATTCTGAACTGGTGAATCAATGGAGACTTGCTGCTGTCTATCAGCCCTTTCTGCCTATCTTGCTAATGCCAGGATTTTCCTCCTCCTTTTCCTCTTTTCCTTCTCACCAATCTAATTGTTACACAAGTTTAAAGCAATCTGTCCCTGCATCTGAGTAGGGATTAGATCTGATCCCAAAATACTAGGCAGGAACAATATGATAGTTGTTTGATAACTGTAATGCGCTGAGGATCCAAAATAAATATGGGAAGAGTTTCTAGTCAGTGTAAGACACTGTGGTCAGTCCAATGTGACATCCCACAGCCAGTTACCACAGCAGAGGCCTACACTGAGCTAGATACTAGGAAGTGGGTGAAGGTTTTCCTGCCCAAGAAAATTATAGGTACTGCATTTTAAGGGCCATGGATTCTGTTTGTAGACTGTGGCCGATGGTGCAGCTTAGCTTTACTTTCTCAGAACAACTAGAGGAAGAAATAAATAGAAGAAAGTTTTGCAGAAAATCGATATGTATTTAAATGTAAGCATCTTAAATTTTAGTAATGGGAAGGAAACATACTGTACAGCTACTTTGATAACTTAGGCAGAAACCAAGTGCACAGGCTCCATCTTTCGCATTTCCATATAGCAATAATCAGTTGCAGACTACTGAGCTATTTTGAGCAAAAACTGATTGTTAGAGCAGTGAGATCAGTCTCCTAATCTGCATGTTGATCAGTGTTATTCCAATTCCGTAGTGTTATAGAGAAAATGAGGGCAAAAACATTCAGGAATGTCACTTAAGACTATTTTCCTTCCTGTCCCACAGGTACTCTGTGTCTGCATGCTAACTACAATCCTAGGATGTATATTCGGCCTGAAGCCTAGCTGTTCAAAAGACGGTAAATAATGTGCCTCTTAACAGAGATATTTCAAAGCAATTCCTTCTTTCCCGCTGCCCTTTGCTGTAAATTAACATTGTCACAATGCCCCCTTTTATCACCATAGGAAGAGGCTTTTCTTTGGCCACTGTTATTTGTCCAACCTTCCTGTAAATTGTGGAATGGCCACCTATATTTTTCCACACATTTCTCTTGGTCATTTGTTTAGCTCAGCCACTGACATGTAACATTATCAACTTTACAGTGAAAACCTGTAAAGGTCGTTGCTTTGAAAGGACGTTTGGAAGCTGTCGCTGTGATAGAGATTGTGTGAAGCTTGGAAACTGCTGCTTAGATTACCAGGAGGCATGTATACAACCAGGTAAGGATGGAAAAAATTATGGAGGCAAAATTGCGTATTCTGTGTCATGAGACAGCTCTGAATATGCAGCACTGTTGTGGACAGATTGCCATAATCTCGCAGTATCTTTAAGATCTTCTGAGGGTGCAAGAGAGGGTGCTAAGCAGTGCACCAGTTCTGATACCTGTGATCTCCTCATGTTTGTGCTCCCTCTGTGACAACCAGAGGTGAAATTCCAGCAGCCATGGTATTACTGCAGACCCTGGTGAAGTACCAGGGCTCTGGTGGGACAGAGGCCACACACAAGGCTCTTACTCCACTCTGGTGGATTGCAGAATCTACAGGTTCAGTCGGGCTTCTGGCTTTCCATAGCCCTTGTTGGGTGAGAGGCTGTGAGGGGTTGTGTTGCTGCACCGTCCCTTGAAAAGACCAGGAAAAACTGACCGTGGCTCTCAAGCAGCCTCTTGTTTTGTGTGTCGGGGGTGAGAACAGTGACAGGCATTGTCCCTAGCATCAAACACACAACAGGCACATTCTCAGGCCGGCCCCCAAGACGACTGCATTCTGCACACTGTGTCTTTCTGTCCATGGTCGTCACCCCTGTGAAAAAGGGAAAGGACAGAGCAGCTCTGGAAAAGCTGCTGCCATTCTCCGCTCAGCCACTCAGGCCCTGTGTCTTCTCTCTCCTCTGCCTGAGGGTGAAGCATGGTCACTGCTGGCCTTTGGCACAGGATGGGGGCACAAAGCAAACTGCAGGGGTTAAGAATGGTGGCGAAGATGGGGGTGGGGGGGAAGGCAAAATCTCAAGGTTTACCAGAAAGCTCAGTCACATAGGCAAGGGAATACTTATGAGATTTACTCTCTAATTCCATCATTCCTTCTTAATTTAAAGAGGTTTTCAAAAATGAAGAGTCTACCTTGCTCAAAAAATGAGAATTCATATGCATTTGCTAGCTAAAATTGTCTTTTTAGTTCAATAGGATAAACATCAGTGGAGAATTGGTTTCTAGTTTTTTTCCTACAGTAACATGGAACTGGAATCACAGAATCATAGATTCTGAGCTCTTGCAGAACTAAAGGTCTCCTGGTATCTATGGAGCTACTGAAATTAATTATACCCGAACGTGAGGCTGAGTAAATTTTATTGTTGTTAACCTGGTGAGAACTCTTTTAAGCAGGAATTGCTAATTGCTAGTTGTGTATGAAGACTGAATAATTACTGTCCTCTACTCAGACATGCAGGTTTAGGTTCCATGTTTCTGTTAAGTAAATTGCCAAGTGAAAGTCCTAAGGAGTGAATAACTTTTGTGCTCACTGACTGCAAAAGATCCGTTTGTATTTACAACTTGATAATGGAATAACCATCTTCAAATGGTATGATATTTTGGAATATTCTAATCTGAAAAAAGTACAATGATTCAGGAAAAAAATCCTACTAGAGAGAAAGGGAAAAAAAAAAAGAGTGAAGATGAAGTCACTAGGACTTCTGTGAACTGGGGAGCTTATCTGTGCCTAAGATGATGACTGAATCTGGCAGATGTGATAGTGAATGGTAAAAATCCATTGTGAAATCTGTTGTATAAGTTTTTTTTAAAACTTTCGTGTTTACAAATTAAATTACCACATTAAACCCATTTGAATTTAAGGATATTTAAGGATATTTAGGGAAATTTATAAAAATGCTTTTTTTGTTTACACTTTCTGATTTGTGGTATTATAATTGTATGCTCAATAATTGTATTCTGCGAACCTTTATTATCATTTAGCCTTTGGTGCTTCTATCTTCCAAAATGTCCAGGTTTACAATATTATGGGTACACATTTGAGAGTAAGCTTAACATTTAAATTGTGTGCTCGTGCTAATGTAAATATCTGTACTAATGTCTGTTTGTAGCCCGCATATGGACCTGTAATAAATTCAGGTGTGGAGAGAAGAGACGACCAGAATATCATTGCTCCTGTTCAGATGATTGTGTGGAAAATAAAGATTGCTGTGTCAATTATCATGCTGTCTGTAAAGGTAAATATTCCCCTCAATTCCTACAATGTCTTGCGTGTGCTTATATTTTTTTGATAGGAAATAAGGATGCAGTATAAGTAAAACATCTAAAAAAGTGAAAAACCTTGCATTTATCAAAAATGTACTATATTGAAAAATAAATTGCACTCATTTATTTTAAGGAGAGGCAAGCTGGGTTGAAGAAGAGTGTGAGGACATTACTGAACCTCAGTGTCCAAAAGGGTGAGGATATTGTATATTTGCATAGCTCTATTCTTTGCTTGTTTCATTTTTGAGATTAATTTCCCTGCTCTGCCTGCCTGGGACCTGCTTGCCTTTCTCATCCACAGTGAGAACAGTGCCAAACAGGCCAGGACACCTGCTCAGCCAGCGTTTTGGTGGCGCGTACTAACAGATGGGCCTAAGCAGCCCTTACGTATCGCAGTGCTTGCTTGACTTGCAGGACTTCCCTATTCCACTTCATGGGTAGGTTTGCCTGGGACAGCACTCCCTCATGCTAGCCTTGTTACTGGAGTATGTCTGGGACAGTACCTACTGTCCCATATCTCCTTGGGCTTGCTCTGCAATCTCAGGCTCTTAGCACCTGATTCTCTCTATTTACAAACCTGAAAACACCTTCTTAAACTCTGTAAAATATTGCATGTAAGTTGCTATAGAATCCTTATGTTCTGTGGCTTGGCTTCACGCTGGGCCTGCTCCTGAAAGCTATATATACAAGGAGTAAATCACCTAGTCTATGGTATCAGCACTTGTGCTAAAATGGTACAGCTATGTTTCCCACTCAGAAGACTTACATTTTCTGTGGGATCTTCAAAATAACATCAAAACTAAAGTAACCTGCACACTCTGGCTAGATGTGTAAGGTATTAATAAGTGACTTGTGTGCTTTTGACTAAAAAAGCGTTCCACTGAAAAATATATATATATGTGTGTGTGTGTATATATATGCTTAATTCATTCCTGCAACTTGTTTCTTTGAATTCTGTTACATTGTTGATTGAAATGTGTCAAAAAAGATCGTTTTGATGATTTCTGAAGTATGTTGGGGATAATCTCAGTAAAAACACTTGATTACCTTATTTGACTCTTTTCTTGACAGTGAGGGTGATGGAGCACTGGAACAGATTGCCAAGAGAGGTTGTGGAATCTCCTCTGGAGCTCCTCAAAACCCACTTGGATGCAATCCTGTGCCACATGCTCTAGGCGACCCTGCATGTGCAGTGGGGTTGGACTAGATGATCTTTAAAGGTCCCTTCCAACCTTTATCATAGAATAGTTAAGTCAAACAAAAAATATTGTCTGTTGGAATATCTTTTATAACAATGCTCATTTGGTCTAATTCAAAACAATAGAAAAATGCTGACATGTCAAAACCTTCTTAGTCCATCTTTGAATCCAAGACCCTGCTAAGCTCCCACATAGGAGGACTGTAGCCAGATTTTGTTGATAATGCCCGTTTGGGGGTTCAGAGGCTTTAGTGTACTGACTCACCCAATGATCAGAATGATCAATGACTTCTCTGCAATTAGAAAGTGCTACACAAGTGCACGTATACAAATGAGACTCTTGTACTGATCAGTAGCTAAGGTAATAGCATGAATACCAAACAGCAACTCCTGTTGGTTAACTTGTTTTTAGTTTTTTGGGTTTTTTTCCTGTTTATTTTTTCAGTTCAGCGCATGAAAGGAATGCATAGTTATTTCACTAGAATTGTTTTAATCCCAGTAAAACCAGAAATGTTGCAATAAAACCCAACCCAGGAAAGGGTAATATGTGGTCAAAGTTGAGCCTTCAGTAAACACTCTTGTTTGATTCATCTCAGTCTACTAGTACACAGGCCTCTCCCCAGACCGACAACATGGAGCAGTTCCCTTCTTCATGTGGTGGAGTAAACTGGAGTATAGGTGGATTTAGCTCAGTATTCATTTTAAAGCTTCAAGATGTCACCTTTTAATTCTGTGCATGTTAATGCAGAATGTTTGGTGGGTCCAAACTGGTGTATTTATTGTGCTTTGTTCTGAGTCATGGTTGTTCTTATAAGGCAGAGTAGACGAAAGTCATCAAGCCACTGTGCTCAATGAGCGGATTAATGTGAGAAACCCAACTGTTTTCAGGGAGACTGTCCAAATGCTTAAAATTAAGTAACCTGCATTGGTCTATCCAAGATTAGGTTCTGTGTTATTTAATAGGATTACAAAATAAATGGAGCTCTCAGAGGTTTCAGGAGTCATCTGGTTCTTCATGCTGTCTTCAAAGGAATGAAATAATACTTTTGGATTTCAAACCTACATAAGGAGCTTATACTAATGCTTAAATAGATGCTTTTTTTGGTGTCTTTAGTATCTTTTGTTGTGATTTAAGCCTATTATTACATATACTTTCTTCAGTGAACTGTAAGAACAGTCAACTCTTCCTCTTTATAGCTCTTTCCTATGTATTTGCAGATCATCACTGAACTTTATACCTTGCATGTATTTAGTAGAAAAGAAGGTTTTATTTCCTATGTTTTATGAGTACGTGTAGGCGGACATGCATATGGGCGTGGGGAGTAGGAAGTTCTCTGTGCAATGAATTTAGCTTTTGGAATTGGATTTTCAGGGTGGGGTTCAGCCTTCTATAACCAGGGTCTGAACAAGCTGCTGAGAGGCAGGTCAGTTTGGCAGTGTGGTTCTTGGTTCTGGTCTCTTCAGCATCCAGACTGGTGACTCTGCTAGACCACAGGAAGCTCTTTGCCTCCCTTACTTTTGTGTAGAGGCCAGTTTATAAGAAGGGAAAATTACCGCTGAATTTCCTTCAGTATCGAGTCAGGATGTGACCCTGGAATATATCTTTATCCAAGAGCTGTCAAACACCCTTGTCACGCAGTTTGGATGCAACCAGTACAAATCACTGGCACAGCCAAAACTAGTGACTCTTGTATTCCGACTCAGGGCTGTTTGCTCTTGGTAGACTAGGCCCTTGCTGCTTTAAAAATATGCTTAGCTACCAAGAGAAAAATCATGTGCAGGAAGGAAATCCGGAAGAGATATATATTTTCAGAGCCGAGCTCGGGTCAGTCAGAGTAAGCTGCGTTTCGTGCAGACAACAGGCCGTGCTCTGAAGCTGTTCCCTGTCGTGCTGCTTCCTTGTGCTCTGTCACGCTCTGCTTCCCTGAACACGGCACAGATCACTGGCTGTTTAAGTTTCAGCATGTGTGCAACACGCAAGAAGCAAACCAATTAATCTCTCTGCTGGCGGCAATGGTCTGTTTTATCGAGCTTAATTCACACAGGAGGGGATCGCTAGCTGGATTTGCAGACCAAACAAAATGTTTCCTTCGGGGTTGGTTTACTTGTAGGTGCCAAGCCAGAATGAGTTGCGTAAAGTCCCTGTCTGAGGAGTTGTTGATAACAATTTTTTTCTTTTTAGAATAGACATGCTCTGTTTTTTGACTCACCTTCAATTAAATATAGTTGTTTTAAACTGCAGTAAGGCTTATAAATGTTTTACTTGTCAGGATAAATGACTGTTTGGCTTTTTGTGCTGTATCTCGCTAGAGAAATTGTCAAATGATTTGTTTATATTATCTGTCTTCTGTCATCATTGTTTTACTTTGCAATCTAAAGTATAATTAAGTTTTTTTTTTTCATTTTAAATTTGTAAACATAAAAAGGAAAATGAGCTTGCAGCTGAAATGTAATATACATATTTAGCTCTTCTGGGCAAATTGTATTTTTAGTGTTTGCTGCTATACTGCTAAGTTTGCAGTCTTCCATGTTCTCATATCTGTAAGATGTTTTCATTTCAAGAAAGAAGTTACTGATGACTATTCCCATCTGTGGATGCAATGTTTTAAATGCTTACAGTTGGAGGCAAATTGTTTGATGAGTAGGGCTGAAGCTGAGAAAAAGGCTGGAATACATAGATTCCAGAGAAGACTGGGAGGGTGAAATTGCCTTTGGTAATTCCAGTTAAATAATCTTTTTAATTTACCAGCTAAATCTAGATTAGAAAGCTGTTATTGGGAGGCTTCCATCTATAAAGCCACAGTTTACAGCCTGGAGATTCATGGTATTTTGAGTATACTTGAAACTATAGCGGTTCATTACTTTTTAGCTCTGTTATTGTAAGCTTTATTTATATTATAAATGGTGATTTAGCATATCCTATATGCTAGATTTTCTTAAGGCTTTTGCACAGTGTATATAAAAAGCTAAATTCAGTTTTTCAGATGACTCATAATTTGTTCAGAGTAGGCAAAGTAGGTAAAGCCAAGCCATGGCTTTAAACAGTCTTCACTCTTTACCTCTTTGCTTAAAGCCGACTTTTGATAGTCCAGTGGGACTGATGGCAAGTTTTATTTTATTTTTATTTTTTAAAAGGGCAGATGGATTATATGAGCATCCTGGTTTGTTCTTTATTTCATGTAAGTTTGTGAAATCAGTCCTTGTCTTGATTTCTTTGTGTTTGTGAAGTGCTATCACAGTCCTCAACCTCTTCAGATAGGGTTTCAAATGCCAGCCTACAAACAGAGGGGCCACAATTTTGCTACCACTCTGCTAGCCTATGAATTTTTGTGTTTAGGAAGACTTCTTTCCTTGGTCTAGTTTATGGTCTCAAAAGGAATATCTCCAAGATTCTTGGGAAGGATTTTTGAAATAGTGATAGGAACGTAGTTGCCACAATTTTACTTTTAATACTTTTAATTTGTTTGTTCAGATTTACCAAATCCCCAGTGTTACTGTTTTCACTGGATGGCTTCAGAGCAGAATATTTGAAGACTTGGGGTGGACTTCTACCTGTTATTAGCAAATTACGTGAGTAGTTTTCCTTTTCAAACTAATAACATCATGATTTCTTTTTTTCTTTTTTTTTTTTTTTGTAGAAGTAGCTATTCTTACCATGTTAAATCTTTACTATCCGATATTCACTGCCATGGAATCTCAAGTTGTTGTCTTTTACAATAGCTCTGCACAGAAAACTTGAAAGTGGAAGAGGCTAGAAATGGAGGCAAAGGATGGCCAAATTTGGGGTTTTCAGTGAAACCTTAAAAATGGTTAAGCAGCTCTTAGTGTTTAGGAGGGTGGACCTTTTTTGCTGTGAGCTTACTTCCTTTGGAAAAAAAAAGGGAAGTAGACACACTATGATTTTGAAGATCTATTTTGCATAGTACCTCATATTTAAGTGGAATGGCTTTGGAAAAATAGAAGGTGGTAGAAACCATTTAATTACACTGGAAAAAGCATGCAGAAGGAAGATATTAGGAACAGATGCTATTCAAGGGCTGGTGTGTAGAGCAGAAATGCGAATCTGAGATGATTTTCATGTAACAGACATTTGCAAAAGTGATGGCAGTCCCCTAAGTACTATATTTTTTTCCTCCCCAACGTAGGTTTTATAGTGTCTTAGCTTTGTAGTGTCTCGGTAACTTGAGTTACTTTTCCTGTCTCTTTTTGGCTGCGGTCTATAAAGAACTCATGACATTTCTTGTCTGAAAAATATACCAATGTTGTTGTCATTCATAAATTACTACCTGGAGTAGCTGCTTTCAGTTTGACTAAAAATAAGTCAATAAAAATACTTGCTGTTTTGTACACTGGTTGTTATAACTTGATCTGTTCCAGAGGATAACAATTCACAGATGTATCTGAGGTTTAACTTTTTAAATATCTTTTCTGTGAGTAAAAACAAGACCTTTGAAAGAGTTTCTTAAGAAGTAGCTGTCAAAATCTTCCATTTAAGAAGGCTTCTTCAGCCTTAAGAGCAGAGACTAGCACTCATAAGTGGTTATAGAGCCTTCTTAAATTGAAGATACACGCTACAGTGCTACAAAGCTTCTATAAGCTTCGATGTCTACTTTTAATACTATGTATTTTAGAATAAAGTAAGTGATGACCTGGAAAAAAAAATCTCTACATTACATCTATTGCTCTAGAGTACCTAGTAAAGTAGGAATGTAGGATGACTTTCTGTAACCTACTATAAGTCTTCTAAAAATACAGGTTCTTCAGTCTTGTTAGAGCCTGGTTTTCTAGTCTTCCCCCCCTCGCCCCCATAGTAAAATGGCTGATGAAAATGTTGACATAGGCAGATTTTCTTTAGTAAGAACAGAGTCATCTTGTGAATGAACATTGGTTTTCCTGGGATTTAAAAAACATTTTCTAAACCCTAGATACTCAGGGTTTGCTCATTCAAATTTGTGTGCTTAATTTCATGTGTGTGCCTCAGCTGAAAATAGTGGGTGCAATCACATTTATAAACATTTCTAGAAATGAGTACATAAATTTTAGAGAATTTTAGAGTACGTAAAAGGACAGTGAAATCTGACACTCTGTGATAGACCAATAACAACAACAGATGAAATGCTTGACAATTGTTGGAAAGTTATATTGAATAATCCTTTTAAAGGTTATAGTTATCCATTTACAGGACAGGTAAATGTTCAGAAAAGTTCACAATATATGAATGATGCAGTTAGAAATCAGTGAATACTCACAGTAAATTATCCAGCTATGTCTATTATTAAATTAGAACCATGCTAAATTTCTGGATCTTCCTCTTTCAAACACTTGATAAGTACATCATTTTGTTACATTCCTAATTGCTGTGCAGACACACTGAAGGAAGAGAGACTATAAGCGAGAAATATTGAAATTGTCATGCCTATATGATAATTCTGATGTCTCCTTAGAGATTTTTGTTACAATAGATTTTTGTAAGGTGATATCGTAGTGTTTCACACACACACACACACACACACACTTATGATCGTATGCTAAAAGTTCAGAGTTCAGAATTAAATTGGGAGTGTAAAATGAAATTCTCAGTGATTCCAGGCATTTTAGGTTCAGAGAAGCTGTTTTCCACATAATTCTAAGCTGTGATATTACCTCTTTTAAGGAAATCCTGCTTTTGTCTTCAGTTATCTTCAAATGGAAAAGGCAGCAAGCCCAAAACATGAAATATAACTTCAGTGGAAAGTACCGATCCTTGACAAGTTTGACAAAACACTGTTTAAATTCATTTTTCTCTGTTTAAAATAAATAAAAAATAGTGTTTTGCAAAAAATCCTCATCAAGAGACTTGGAAAGGGTTGACATGCATGAAGCATGTTCCAGGAGCAGTAAGAGTACAAAAACATTAATACTGAAAACATGGAGAGGATGCCAATGTATTTTGAGAAGATTTTTATTTATTTCAGACAGCTTTTTTAATTAGCTTAAATTAATTGTTTCAGAGATCTAATCCAAGGTCTTTTTTTTTTTTTCCCTCTCCAAATGAGTTGGAACTTCCTTGAATCAAAACTGTAACAGGAGAGGCGAGAGCAAGGAGTGCCTGCAGAACTCCCTGGGTGCAGCTACGTTCTTTATGTGTAATATTGAAGATTTGACTCACTGGTGTCTGTATCTTCTCTCCACATGCTAAGCATCGCTGTCTGAAAAACTAGGAAGGCTCTGCAGTGTTTTCTTCTCCATTTTCTTTTGTGTTTGGATAATGTCCCTAGGACTGGACGAGTGAATCCATTTGGAAAAACACTCTGAAAATGTCCTGTTCTGCCTGGCTTCCATGTTACCTATATGGCCCATTTATACAGTAAACTAGATGTCCCCAGGGGTTGGACTAGATGATCTCCTGAGGTCCCTTCCAACCTCAACCCTTCTGTGATTCTGTAATATTATCAAACCTTAATTATATTTTTATATACCCCCCCACACATATACCCTCCAACGCACATGCATCCACACACGTACCCACACACACTCTGATTTATTTATACGTGCTTATATATGACCCAGAGGGCATGCAGTGTTCTTTTGTCCAAGGGATTTTTACTTTGGAGCTATTTGTTCTCAATTAAAAAAGTTTTGGTCATCATACAATATTGTAAGTCTTGAAGCTCTTATCTTTTGTTTTCTGAAAGTCAGGGCCCGTGCATTTCTCTATGGAAATTTAGGTATCTAACTTAAGTAAGTCTTGCTTAAAAATTTTGGCCTGGCCAACGAATCTTAATGCTAAAAACACTGTGTCGTTATCTTTTCCTTAAAAACCTGTGATATTATGTCAAGGTAAAGACTTTTTTTTTTTTAATGCAACAAACCCATAAATTTAAGGCAAAATAACTAGTGATTTGACAAGTGATTGAGTGTGCTAAGGTAAAGCAATACAGTGTCAGTGCCACTTTATTAGTTCTGGGAGCTCCCAGAGTGAAGCAACTAGTTGTTCTCAAGCTCTAGTTGTTCTCACAGTTCTCTTGCCACACACCAGGTGAGCTTTGAAAGAACCAATATCTTTTCTTAATCTGTTTTAGCTGTGTTTATTTTTCACATATTCTATGTCCTGCCCATGAGACCACTGAAATCTGTCATTAGGATATCTGCAATTTGTATTACTAGACATTTAGCCCATTTGTAAATTGATGTGTGAAGAAGAAAAGTGCTTAGAATACAAATGAATGAAAACTTTGTAGAAGTTTGTGTTATTTTTGTTTGTTTGTTTTTAACTATGTTTGCAAGAAACTAGCAAAAGCTTCAGTTTCGGTAATTTTGCTTTTTTTCCTCTTCCCTGTCTAGAAAAATGTGGAACGTATACGTCCAATATGAGACCAGTGTATCCATCAAAAACATTTCCCAATCACTACTCCATTGTCACAGTAAGAATTCCTATATATTATTTCTCCTGTGCTGAGGTCTACTCATTATCGTCTGTAAGGGAATAATATATTATATCTGTGTGAATTACAGGAATAATGTTATTTCCCTTTCAGCATACATAAATGTAATATATTTTTAATACAAATTTAGATTAGCAGACATTATATAAACTGCATCTAATTGGTCAGATCTAATCCAAGTAATCCAATTCTTCCAAAACCATTTGCCCATGTACTTGGGAAGTCATGCCGTTTTACGACTCCTTATTTGTAGAAAAGCTTCCATTAAACCGTCAATCTCTGACAGTGAGAACAGAGTGATTTTTTTGAATTGTTAGCTTTCTTGCACTTTTTATGTGGCTTGGCATGACCCAAAGAAGAATATGAAATGGAAGTCAGGATTGGAATATCTCATTAATATGTGGAATATCGCAATAATTAATATTGTGATATTGGCATATCACAAAACCCCCCGAATGTTTCAACACTGAATGTGGTGTTGTAATCCAGCAGATCCTTCTCAATTTATTGATCTGAGAATTTAAAATTTGAATAGAAACTTGAGGATCTGAATCTCTCTTTTTTTCCCCACTTTGTCAGGACTGTCTTTTGGTAAGTGAGCAGGAGGAGTGAGCACAGGTTCAGGAATGAGATTTTTACTTGAGAAATTGTCCCACATCTTCCGTTTTGAAGATGCCACTAGAAGTGTTAACCATGCTCAAAAGCTATGTAAGAGTATTTCTAAATACAAAATAATGCTCAACTCTTCTGAAAATCATCAGCCTGTGGTGTTTATCAGAGTCCCACTGGTGCTCTTGTTCCATCCTCTTCTGTCCACAAAACAATTTATAACAACTGTCCATTTACGTAGCCAGAAGCTGGTGGTTCTTTGTAATGTTGCAACAAGGTTTACTCTCAATTGCAGGGGCTGTATCCTGAATCTCATGGTATAATTGATAACAAGATATATGACCCCAAAAGAAATGCATCTTTCACCCTTAAAAATGAGGAAAAGTTTAATCCACAGTGGTACCAAGGACAGCCTGTAAGTATTAATGCACTACTGAAAGGGTACAGCAAAATATTATGTTGTTTAATCCCACTTGGATGCATGGTGATCTTGAAACAGAGGGTGCCTCTCGGTCAGCCAAGAGGCATTACTCAGCATAATTAAGGACTGCCTTACTTGAGCTCCAAAGTGACAGCGTAATACATTTTTTGGGCTTAAATGGAATTTTCTCTGAGGAGAAAACTAGCTTAAAATAACTAAGAGAGTTACTAAATTTTTGTCATGTTTTCAAAGTTAGGTGGTCTTGAAGTTCCCAGGAAATTAACAGATTCATCCATTTTAGAAGTAGTAAAGGTTTTGCTCTACCCTCATTAATGAGTCTAAAAATTTGCAGTTTTAGAAGAAAACCTTTCTGTTTAATCATACAGTAGAAGGACTTTAGGCCTGAGAAGAAAGTAGCGTATGAGTCAGACAAGAAAACATGCTAAGGGCAGAAAGAAATCTGCAGATCATGAGATCTGCAGTAACATCAGCCAATGGTTGTTCCTGTATTTTCGAATATCTGAGGAGTAATTTTTTGCAGGATTCCCATCCCTTCTTCCTCCTGCAGTGTTCTCAAGACCTTTCTGGTTCTGCTACTGCATTACTACTCCTCTCTGTGGGAGCTAATAGTATCTACTTCGGCCCTGGCTCGCCCATGCTACGACAGTGGAAAGGATGTGAGCATTTGTAATATGAAATCAGGCAGGATGGTATATTGTGATTGCAGTTGGTGATAATATGGAAGATTGGATGTCATGCATGTTCTGCATACATTTATAGTTTTGCCAAAGGTACAGAACTGGTGGAGGTGGTGTTGAATCTGTCACACAGGGCATTCAACGAGCTCCACCGGTAACAATGATCCTTCCCCTCCTGCAGATTTGGTTAACAGCTATGTATCAAGGCCTCAAGGCGGGGACGTTCTTCTGGCCTGGCTCAGATGTAGCAGTTAATGGAAGCTTTCCAAACCTGTTTGAAAAATACAATGGGTATGTAAAATCTTCTGTCTTGAATGGATATTTTATTTTAAATGCTGCAATGCGGGAGTTCCCAGAGAAGTGATAAAACTTTCCTACATATGTGACATGAAAAACAGTAGGATTCCATTTTTTTCCCATTAAAATGCATATTCTTCGTCTAGTCATTTAATAATTCTTCAGCAAATACTTTACAGGAAATATGTGGGAAAGCTACTTTAAAAGTATCTTTGAAGCTTTAAAACATTTTTGTTTGTTCGTTTCTATTTTATACAAATCTTTTATGGATGTTTTTACAGTTATTCAATCCCAAACTCCCTTACAATAAACAGGTCAAGTCTTGACATCATATTGTCCATGAAAACTGTTGTTTTACTGTTTACTGTGGTAAAATTCTCCAATGTAAAATTACTTTCATTACAGATTTTCAAAATACTTTACACTAAAGTGACAATTTTTCGTTCAGTGGTTGCCCTTCAGTTGCCTTCAGCAATTAAACATATTCTGCCTAATGAAATTACTACGCGATCTGCTCATCATCATTTACATAGTTATCTCAAGTCTCTCCTGAGAAATCAGACTTTTCATTTCTAACTTATGATCGGTCTCCTTTTTCCTACCCCTTACCTTACCTTTCCTGCACCTTTCCTTTTGGTGCTTCCTTAGCATGGAAATTCTGATTCTTGACTGGCTTATCTTTTCTCTAGGAAGTTGAACATGCTGACTTGAACTTGCAGTAGGTAGCTGAATTACTATTACTGTTGATACAGATCGATATGCACATCGTTGGTTTACTTCAGAAGTTGATGTAATGTGTGTTGTCCAGTTTATGTGATATGACAACTTACATTCCAATTGGAGGGGAAAAAATCAAGAGTTTCTCAGGAACGAAAACCTGCACTGTTTATGTGACATTGCACCTTGAATTCTGTTTGTATGATGAAGGCAAGTGATACTAAGAGCTATGTTCTAATTCCATTGCAGTCAATGGAGAGCATTCAGATTAGGCACTTAACTCTTGCAAAACCATAGGAAATGAGCATAGATGGAATCTAGAAAACATGCTTGATTTTGTATTTTTGTGATACAGCTCAATTCCATTTGAAGAAAGAGTGATAACTGTTCTTCGCTGGCTCCAATTACCCGAAAAAGAAAGGTAGGTATATAATTGCTAATCTAAGATCTCTTCCAGTGGTATTGTGGTGAAATGTTTACTTTGCTTAAAGCAGAAATTGTATTTACAATGTCTTATTTGTTGCTTTAACAATATCAAAATGCTACTTCCTGCAAATCTGTTTCTATGAAACCCATTTTTATGCCTATTTTTTTCTCAATTTTCTTCTAATGCATCCTTCCTCTTAATGATAGAGTTGTTTCCAATGTTTGATATCCATTGCTGAAATATTCTCTTCAAACTGTCTCAATATGTATGTAAAATATTACATTTTTGGTACTGTTTGATATAGACCACACTTTTACACTCTGTATTTAGAAGAACCAGATTCCTCGGGCCATAGGTTTGGACCAGTAAGCAGTGGAGTAAGTAACAGTTTTGTTGTTATATTTTTGTTTTGCCTTTTTTTTAAAAAAATTATTATTCATTTTTATTTAAAGCTCTGTTCTGATTCCATAGTAAGTTTTCATAAAGTATGTTAGGTGGATAACCAACAAAATGTTCAGTACAGATATTAGAAAAAGATTTTGGGAATAGACAGTCCATAACTGACATCAATGCAAGACACATAATGAACAGGCTATTTAGTAAATTCTGATTTTGATCTTCCTTCTTTCAAAAACTTTAAAATTTCAAAAGCTTTTTTCTGTACCCCTTGTATGTAAGCCCCTTGTTTTAGCTACTTCTACTAATTCTTTATGTTAATCTTAACCAAATCAATACCAACCAGAAAAAAACAGATTTTGCTAGTGATGGTCCAATTTTTGGTGGATAGGTATTCATATTACAATTGCCATTTGTTTTCCCATTCTCTCTCTCTCTTCTTTAATGGAAGATTAGATGGATATTGGTCTTACTGCCTGTTGTGAGACTTCATGCCTTTTCAGCAATGAAGTGGTAAAAGGGAAGTTCCCATCATCAGTCTGTGATGGACCTTTTGTATAACTAAGAAGTCAGCAGGACTTGTCATTGTTATTGTTTTCAAAAGTATTAAATAGCCATTTATTTTTAACAAACTAAAGCAAAAATATACAAAAGAGGAAGCTTTCAGTAACTCCAGAACACTGTATAGCCCCACTGTCCTGAGCTGTGAGAAGTTATGTAACATCTAGCAGATTTCTCTGTGGTGTTATCAACAGTAAAGTCTCTTGACAGCTTCTCTTCACGTCTTCTCTTCACGTCTGAGCGGTTACACTTTTGGTAAGAAACTGAAGGACAAATGTAATTCTGCAGTGAATTAGTAGACAACTAATTGCAGCTGCAGTGTAAGTAATGTTTTAAGCTGACTATCCTTTTCTTTGGTTAATAAATGGGTCTGAAGTTCTGGACGTGTGAAATACATAAAGCTAAACAATCTGAGAAGTTGTAAACCATCTCCCAAGGAGCAACTCTCATCTGTCTTCACACTGAGAAAGGCTGTTTACATTTGTACCTTCATTTTCTAACCAAAGAACTTAATTTTAAAAGGAAATGCTTTTTTTACTTAGCATATATTGAAAAGTGTCCCCAATGGCTGTACTTAGTTAAATAATAGAGGTTTAGGATGTGAGCCCTGATATTTAAAAATGCTTAATTGTTAGCTTATTCTTTGACTGTTTTCAGTCTTGTTAAACTAGCTCATTCTGTACCAATATCCAGCTGCAGTTTCAGGGAGAGTTTGCTCTAGGGCCCCTCCTCCTTGCAAGTCCCAGGAAGGCTACTGCAAGTCATGACAGACATAAATTATCTTTGGCTTTGCTCTGTACGGGCTCCTCTAGTCTAATCAATGCCTGTGCTCCCAGGCTGCTTGGCAGTTGTGCCCTGATAATGCAGCAAGTATCCTCAGTTTCACACTTTAAAAACACTCTGGTTGGCTATAATGTAGTTTTCAAATATTTTATACCAAAGAATATATAAAAATGTGCCTGGCTTGTGATACTGTGTGGGATTGAGAGAAATTTGGAACGAGGAGCTATATAGTGTAGCTACAGCCAGTCTACTGGAGATGGAAGTAACCCTAAGCAGTGTAGACCCTAGCGCATCAGCAGGCTCGCACTTTTATTTAGCCATATGAATGTGCCTGTTGAGCCTGATATCAGTAAATATACATATAAACGGTGCAGACCTGTGAGAACTGGAAGTGGTGAAAAAGCAGGTTTAATGGGGTATTGAGAATGCCATAAATCTCCTGTCCCCACAGTTCCTCCGATTTGCGCGTACTATATGTACTCTCTGCCATGTGCTTGAAGGTTGCAGCATAGTTGGCCTCACTTAGGTCAGAACTACTTCCAGCCTTGAACGGTCTATGGAAATAGATCATTTTTCATTGTTAGCATATACTGTTACATTTTAAAATTATTAATTTGTTGTAAAATATACATATTTTTACATTAAAGTGATTTGCAGTTACTTTACATCCCTACTTTTGTCTGGCAGGTCATTTTGGCATTACAGAGAGTGGACAGCATAGTTGGGATGCTGATGGATGGTCTCAAACAACTGAACTTGCATAAGTGCCTGAACATTATTTTTGTATCAGATCATGGTAAATTTGGTTTTATAAAATACATCAAAAATTTATCTGCCTTTTTTATTGAGTAATATTCTGATCTTATGCCCATGTTTCTGGCAGTGCTAGGGAACCAGCAAATGACTATACACTGCATTTATATTATCAAGATCATATAGGAGATATCAGTGTAGAGGATATCAGATTGTTTATTTTCAGAGGTAAATGAGGGAGAGGAGTGGAGAAAATGAGAGGGATTAAAAACTTGCATTTCATAATTTATTCTGAGTTCTTCCTGCCACCATTACCAGATGATGAAATTAATAAATTTTGCATGGAAGTGCATTGAGAACAATAGATTTCATTTTATTCTCTTAATTAAACTGCCACAGTAATAGCTTGCAAATTACCAAAAAATAAAAAGTAAAGGCCACATTCTTTTCAAAAATCACTTTATAATTACAAAGCTATGGATATAAAATTTCAGTTTATTTCTGAAGTAGTTTTTCTGTATTTCGTAAAAATGTATATATTTTATCAATCACATTCTTGTTTTACCTTTTGTTTCCTAACAAACAAAATGTAAGCACATTTCCATGCAGCACAAAATTAACTTGCAGAACTCACTGACATTGAGTATGAGCCAGAACAAACATCTTTTCAAATTTAAAAAGTATTTAAGAAATTAATGCAGAGTAAGTTTGTCACATGACTGTCAAGCGTAAGAGTTCAAATACAACTTCCAACTCAGGAATTCCCTTTGACTCCTGGGAACTGATAAGGAATTCAGGGGGAAAGATCAGTCCGTACCTGCCCTGATTAATATGTATTTCTCTAGACATCAGATTAAATGGATGTTTGGTGTTAGCGTTGCTACTGTTCTCAGGCTGATATGATTCTTTCCCCTTCAGAGAAGAATACTGATCCATTTATTCATTTGGAATATCTTTCTTTCTGGGTTGAATAAATGTCTGATTGTTTTTCTTCCATGTATATGAGTATTTTGATCTCCTTGGATCAGAACTTGGGGACTGCTGATTAAAAAAAAAAATGACAGACATAAATTATGTTTCTACTTTCTACAATTTAAGTTAAATGTCTCCTCAGCGAGACTGCTTCACACCAGTACTCCCATATTTAAAAAATAAAATTTCTTTACTTGTGCAGGAATGGAAGCAGGGAGCTGTAGAAAAACTGCGTATCTGAACACCTATCTGGACAATGTTCAAGATTTCCTAATAATACCTGGCCCCGCTGCTCGCTTAAGACCTAATAATGTTCCAGATGAGTATTTCTCTTGTATGTAGTTGCTAAACTAATTTTTGTTACTTGGTTATACACTTTAGTGTTTTCTGAGAACAAACTCGGGATCTGCATATTCAGTCTGTATGCTTGAGTGCAGGTCAATGGGGGACAATCCTGACTATGATAAAAGGGGAAGCACCGAGAGTGCAACCATGCTTTTAAAGACCATTAGACTTTGCAGGTCTGGAAATGCCTGTACCTGATGCCTAGAACTTAATTTTTTCAGGCTGCCTCAGAATGACCAGCTACATATGCCCTTGCACTCTTAATGGCATTGCTTTGACTCAGGTGCTTGGTAGTCAAGGTAGCCCGCAAATCCCTTCTCATGTCTCACCCTATTTTCTGATTTAGGAATTTATATGTAGAGCTACTGTATTCCTGATTTAGAGGAATATTTTATAATTATTATGATTATTTCTTGGCTATTCAAATATGAATTTTGTCCTACTGGCCTGATGACAGAACATTTGAGTCAATAAGGTATAAACAACTGAGTAAAAATCAGTCAATTCTATTGAATGTTAGGCCTTGATTCATTATGCAGCCCTGTTTCAGGGGAACATTTAATGCTTTAATGTAGAGACTTCTGTTTGTTTACTTGCTTGTTTTTTAAATGTTGAACATAGCCTTTAGCTTTTGTAAAAGTTCCTTTCTGTCTAAACTTATGTTCTGCAACCCCCTTAAAACTTTACCACCCGCTTTAAATAAACTTTAAATATTGTGTACTTTAATGCCCAAGCACTTCAAACAAATGCAATTCCAGGTTCTCCATGGAGAAACAAGTTGAGGAAGTGAAAAAGCAGTATGTTTCTTGATTTTGAAACATTCACTGTTTTCATGAAGTAGCTTGGTGGCCAGAGAGGTTGTGGAGTCTCCTTCTCTGGAGATCTTCAAAACCCGCTTGGACGCAGTCCTGTGCCACGTGCTCTAGGTGACCCTGCGTATGCAGGGGGGTTGGACTAGATGACCTCTAGAGGTCCCTTCCAACCTTAAGCATTCTATGATTCTATGTTGGTTTTTGTAGCACTGTATGCATCTGTGTAGGAATTATTAATGGTTCCACTGCACGTTTTTCTCTTAGGTGCTTTAGGTGAGCATTGAATACCAGGCTCAGGGCATGATGACTGTGTGAAATGTAATGGCCTGTGTATACAAAATGACAAACTAAATGATTTAATGGTGCCTTTTGGCTTGTGTCTAAGCATTTGTAAATCTTGGATAACTTGCAGTTGGCTGCCTTTGTAAGGATGCTTGCCAGATAGAACTGCTTTCTTGATAGATCTGTTTGTTTCTTTTTGCTAAGAGTTTTATTAGTAAGCAAGAGGAACAAGCTTTTGATTAATACACCATTTAGGTGTCTCTTTGGTGAATACTTACATTTCAGATTCTTTTTCAAACCATAGCTAGCATAGTTAGAATTTTAAAGTTTTAGGTGGGTAACCACAGAGAGAAGAGACTCTGGTCTGAGACTGATTCTGAACTAAAATTTCATAAAAGCAATAGCTTGTCAGCTTAGTGGTTGCTTGTGTTGCTCCACATGATTTTCATTCCTGTAAAATAATTTACTTAGATTTAGAAATTGCTTGTTGCTAAGCTATTCATATGATTAGAATGCTTTCATTTTACATTTGATTTTTTTAAACTTAGGTGACTAATTCTTACATATGATTCTTCCAGTTAATTATGAAGGCATTGTCAGAAACCTCACAGTAAGTATAGTCTTATGTGTCATTCTAGCTTATTTTTTTCTGACATTCTGCAGGTATTTTGCAGTATAAACCATTTGCTAGGCCGCTTAAATGGTGTGTAGGCTTGAGTGTTACTACTTTGGATCAATGACTTTCCAAGTGTAATACAGTAAAACAAAACAACAAGGAAAAAAAAAGCTAACGGTAGTTGTACGTGGGGGAAAGGAAGGTCAAAATTAACATTAGTTAGATGTCATATGGCTATCCATGGTTGTGCATTAACTAAGGCTTTGTCTTCATTTCTTTTCACGTACTTTCAGCTTACACTGTATCCTGCTGCACTTCTTGTGTATCTGGACCATACTGGTTTAAGGCCAAGGGAATGTAAAATGTAGCTACATTTTAGGCAAGCAAATCTTGTGCTTGCCTACATGTTTCTGAAAGGCAATGTTGAGAGAGAATGGTGATATCTTTTTTCAATGCTAGCCTAAGGAGTTATCTTCTCTGCTGTACGCATGATCGCTGTTCTCATCCCTGCACCACAGTGTTAGATCCTTTTAGTTGTGCACACACTGCCATCAGTGGGAGCTATGCAGTTTTTGTAGATTACTTGGAATTTCCACTATTACTCTTGAAGTTTTATTTTTATATTTATTATTATTATTCATGAATCTTGGTGAGAGAAAAATCTGTCCTAGAGTGATCAATCTAAAACTGCTGTGTCCGTGACCTTCTGTTTTTAAAGTTGTAGCATTCTTAGCCTGGATATTCTCCTACCATTGGAATATATCATACAGTTATTGTGTTAGTCTAATATTTTATTAACTCTGAGCAATATTGTTAGATTCTGTTGGATCATAAGCTGTAAGAAGAAATGTGTGGATGGTGCCTGTAATCCAATGATGTTCTTTTAATAACAGTTAAATGCAAAACCAGTGACTTTGTGTATTAACCAATTCAGTTATGTGGCAGACAATATGATTCCACACCTGACAGACTCCCATTGTCTAAAGTGAAAGTTGTTGAAAATGATTTGCAGTTGAAGTGCTTTATAAGATTTGTGCATGGTGTAAGTTTGATTAAATGTATGTTCTACATTTTAATTTAAACATTTCAGTGCATGGACCCAAATCAGCCTTTCAAAGCATATATGAAGCAGCATCTTCCGAAACGTTTTCATTTTGCCAATAATGACCGAATTGAACCATTACATTTTTATTTAGATTCCCAGTGGCAACTTGCTAGGTAAGTTACCATTTTCAGTACTGATGATATGGCCAAGAATTTCTTGTTTTCCCAAAACTTTTCTACTCCAAGTGCTTAGAGTTCAGTTACACCTACTGGAGTCTATTTTTGTTTTCTTGAAGTGAAGGGACATTGCAAAGAGAAATAATATGCACTTTTCCCCACAGCTTGTAAGGATCTGTGAGGGACGGTTCTAAACTCAGTTATGGATATCCTCTCTGCAGAGGATGCAGGCAATGGCAGATTTTAAGACACAAATATCAGAAACTAAGATCCCTCTTTGTCAGGCCCTTGATCACATTTTGCCATACTTTGAGGAACTTCCAAAGTGAGTCATGAAAGCTAAGCATTTGTGTAAGTAGACTGCTTGAATCAATCTCAGGAGCGTTGCATACATCAAGCATACATTGAACTTGTTGAACATAATGTCTCTATCTGCCATATGCATTCTGATCAATGCACTTACAACACCCAGAGTGATGGTATACGCTGTATTACAGCTTTTTACACCTCTAGGGTACAAAGTGTGGTACCCCAGGGATACAGAATTAGTTTTTCTTATTGCATAATATTTTTTTCGCCCATGTGTTGGATGCATCCTGCTGTAGTACAACTCTGGGGTACAAAGTGTGGTACCCCAGAGATACAGAATTAGTTTTTTTTAATTGCATAATAATTTTTTTTGCCCATGTGTTGGATGCATCCTGCTGTATAGTGCTGAAAATGTGCAAATGTGGATTGAGTTTCTATAACTGTACACATTTAAACAACAGGACACAACATATATCAGACATGGTTTTTATTACATTGTAAAATCCTCAACTGAATGCAAATTACATTGCAGTGTTCATTAACAATATAAAATAAACTGTATATATACTTCACTGTATATTAATACAGTGAAGTTCTGTTACACAGATGGTGGTGAAGTGAAAATCTGATATCTGAAGAGCAAGCTATCCTAATCATAAAATCCAAGAAAAAAACATTTTGTTCATGTATTATCTGGTACTTGATTAAAAACAACTCTAGCATGGGCACCTGAAAATTGTGCAGGGATAACATCTACAGTGAAAACTGTCCTTCTGTTTTAAAGGCATTCACTTCAAGAGCTTAAATACTTTGTTCCCTATGAATAAACCCCTGGAAAGTTTTTAGTCAGACAAACAATTCATCATTGAATATAAGTTATACTAATATATTTTTTAAATTGCGGTGAGTTATATAAACTGTGAATTTTTAATAGGAGACCACTTGAGATTAAAAATTGCAGAGGTGGATTCCATGGCTCAGACAATCGCTTCGCCAGTATGCAGGTGAGTCTTGAATGTTTATACTAGCTCTTATTTTTAACATTGTTTCTGAATGCTATTGTTGGGACTTGGGATTTTTGAGACCTGGGAGACCTGAGACCTTTTGTTCTCTTTCTCATTCCTTTGATCACTGCTGTTACTAACACAGGAAAAAAATCTATTATGATAACTGTTGGGGAAAAACTCAGCAAAACTTGCCCCAGAGTTGACCTGACTGTGCAAAGTGAGTGCATAAAGACACATGCCAAGTTGTTCTCCTTTTACGTTAAAAACAGGAACTGACAACTTAAGAATAGTTTTCAAATAGAGGACTTGAGGGAGAATTCAGGTTGGAAGAGACCTCTCAGAGTTCTCTAGACTAATTACTGTTTCAAAGCACGGTGAGCTGTGGTCAGACCAGGTTGTCGAAGATTTTGACCGGTTCAATCTGGAAAATCGCGAAGGATGGAACACTGTGCAATGTCTCTGGGCAGTCTGCTGTTTAGCTGTTCTCATGGTGGAAAAGTGTTTTAAACACAGCATGAGCCTCATTTGTTTCAGATTATGCCCATTTTCTCTCATTTTCCCACCACATAGCACGGTCAAAGACCTGGCTCTGTTGTCTTTGTGGCCCCTTCATAGATACTAATGGGGTTGCCTTTGACTCCCACCAAGCAGCCTCTTCTCCAGGCTGAATAACCCCTTCTCCCTCAGTCTCCCCTCCCTGAAGCTCCTCCCTCCATGGGCAGGAGCTTCAGCTCCCAGCTATCTTGACCCTTTGCTGAATTTGTGATAAATTTGTTTACTGATGTCTTCCTTGTATTGAGGGTGCAGAATCTAGGCATGTAACAAGTACTCGAGTAGAGAAGAATAATCGCTTCCCTCGACCTCCTCCTGTTTACACAGCGCAGGATGCTGCTGGCTGCCCTAGCTGCCAGGACACACTCCTGGCTCACGTTCAGCTCACTCTCTACTAGGAGAGAGCTCCCCTGGGCTCTTCCCAACAGAGCTAGCCAGTCAGTGCCCTGGCTGCTAAAGACTATCCTGTTTGTTTGAGTCCAGAAAGGCCTAATTTTGCCTTAAAGAAGACTTAGTTTGATAATTAGGAAAAAAAAAAATGTTTTGCTATTTAGCTAATAAAGAGTAAAAGCATTTCCCTTGGAAGATGGCAGAATTCCATATAGGGACTCCCTTTCAGAAATAATATCGTTCATATTGATTTTGTGTCTAGCAAAGGCTAAGTGGCCTCCCAAATTGGCAGTTCTGCTATTTCATGATGAAATATGTAACAGTGTTTTGAGGTAGCCGTGTTCAATGGAGAGCATATCGGTCATCTTAAAAATAAGAACAGAGTCTTTTAAATCTCCTGGAGAAGATCTGGAGGGAGAAAGGGACAGAATTATAGTATATTAAACAAGGAATTGGTAAATATTGAGATCTTTAGTGAGGCCCATCTAATTCTGTATTCAAAAATTCATTTAAATACATTTCATAAACTTACGTATTTCAAGTAAATCATAGGGGTACTATTTTAAAAGCCTTGTTTTTTCACATTTGGTAGTATTATGTAGTATTTTTTAGTTAATGATAGACTTTAGTAAGTAGTTTTATTCAGCCTTCCAGATCTGCTCTTCTCCCCTGATTTGACAATGTGAAGTCTGGTGGTAAGACACCTAATAATGCATTAAAAATAGCACATGGTCACCAACTTAGTATATTTTCTCTCTGTTACTGTGCATTTATTTTTTCAGTGGGTTGAATTTATGCCAGATTTGGGACTGTCAGTTCACAGCACCCCTACTTGGTTTTAAAAGGGTATGGTTTATCCTTCTGTGGCTAGCATTATGCCAGCATACTTTCATAATATAATTGGTTATTTCAGCAAAACTGAGACAGTATGTTCTTGCCTCAAATGGTACAAATTATTACCTTACAGACTTTGATTTCAATAGCTATTGAATGACAGCTTATGCTTAAATCTCAAAGAAGTTGTAGTTGAGTTTAGTCTCTACTGCATGTATAGGTGATCTAAGACAATAGCATTGTTTGCAGAGACTTAAGATCATAACAGCAAGATGGATTTTGCTGTAGAATGAAAAACATCCATTGTAATCTGCTTCACTACTAAACAAATTTTTTTAAAAAAGAATATTTCAAGATAATTGTTAAAAAAAAAAAAATCATCTTGGCAGCAGATGAGTAGAAGTGCTTGCTACCCTTGCCCCCTTGTTCTCAAGTTTGCACAGATCCCTCTGTCTGCTGGTGCAAGGTTTTCCAAGGCTGCAGAGTTAAGCAGGTCAAGAAATTGAACCATATGAAAAAGAGCCAGATTTTTTTTTTTTCCCTGGCTATGTTCCTGGATTAGGTTCACTGTATGGCTGCACCATTGCTTGTGCCAGCACAGCTCTTGAAGTGATGCAAAAAGAAGGAAGAACTGCAGGCCAGGGCTAGCAGCTGTGACTTTACAACAGCTGAAGGCATTTAAAGCATCACCACCAACAAATGTTTGTGCAGCCTCTGATTAAAGGCTTTCAAATTGTTTACAGGACAGGAAAATGATAGTTATTTTGGCTCAACATTTTCTACTAAATCTCTTAAGGTAATTTAATTTTAAGAAAGTTAATTTCAATTTCTCAAAAGCAGGGAAGAGAGCAGGGACCTTCATAAATGCCTGAAGTCAACTTTTAAGGGCAACAATGAGTCAGCATAAAGTTTCCTAATATTTATTTGCTACTATTTTTCAACATATTATTCAAAGCTCTTTAAAATTCCTATGATTAGATATTCTATTGGAAAAAAACATTTTTATTTTTAAGAAAAACTTCCTTCTGATTTAATCCATATTATGTTGCTAAAGTGTAAAGTTCTTTAAAGAAAACACTGTCAGAGCATGAGGATATTTCCATTTTAACCTGTTTGAAAAATAGTTCCATTTTATTTTTCTCTAAATCCTAGGCTATATTTATTGGCTTTGGTCCAGGATTCAAGTTTCATACTCAAGTTGATCCATTTGAAAATATCGAAGTCTATAATTTGATGTGTGGTAAGTACATTCTTCTTTGTTCAGTAAAACACAATCTTTAGGACATTATAAAATACATTTAAAATGAACATTTAAGTGCTTGTAGAAATTTGGCCTTAGGCTTACTGCTGATTTTCCCAAATAAAGTTGTTATTTCTGAAAAATATCCAACTTATAAAGGACTAACAGATGACTGGGCAATACCTGTCACTTCTGATATCCGTCTTTTCCACTGGTTGCTATCTGTGTTCCACAGACTTTGGCTTTTCCAAGACTGACACTTTCCTAGCCGTTATTAAACCTGGCTAATTCATAATCTCTCTCTCTCATCAAGAGATGATGATTTCTCTCTCATTTTGAATGAAAGGCTTAATTCGATATTAAATTAATCACTCAATTCAGCATTAAATTAATTGCTCAGGTGACCTTATTTGGGCAGTGCAATAAATAAAAAGCACAGTAAGGAGTTCAGCTGCTAGGCAGCTCATTTCCTGAATGGCAGAGTCACGTTACGCCTTTTTTCCATAGTACATTTGATCAATTCCTTGTACATTCTGTCACATATTTTCTTACTCGTTTTCTTTTATCATGTTTTAAATTTTTAGTTACTTGATTTATATAGTTTTTTACCTTTAGTTAATTAAAATGCAGGTTTTTAATTTTTATTGATCCATGTAATAAACCTCCTCCCAAATTCATCATTCTGTGTCACTTGTTCAATTATTGCATTGTATCATTTAATGCTGGATTTGGATGTTGCCCTGTCTGCTCTCATTGTTCAATACCACAGCTGTCTCAAATAGACTGTGTTTTTTTTTTTTTTTTGGTCTTTGAACTGCAGGCCTTTTGATAATTAGTCTGTAGTCCCATGGCTTGAGTCTCATTGTAAAAGTCGTTGTCTCTTCAGTTGTGTAGCTGCAATAATCAGGTGTCCTTCTTTTTACACTTACAGGGCGTTCCTGTAGAATTCATGATTCTATAGTGTAGAATTTCTACTTCATGCGGTCTGCTGGTGTACCTGGTACTCACTGGCAGCACTTTCCATATACAAATTTTATCAGATAAATGTTTCTCACTTTATTTTCTGTCATGGTAAAGTTTCCTGCCACAGAGATGGGGCTTTTCTTCCTGCAGTTTAGATACCTTGCTGCCCTCCTCGCTTTCCACTTGAATACAATGTCCCTTACTCCCTGTTTCTCTGACCCTTGTCCTTCTTCCTGTATTTCATGTTTTTCAGAAAGGTCTATCATGTAGCTCTCTCTTACTTCCTGATTTCGTTTATTTCCCTTGAGATCTTCACCTGTTTCCCATTATTTCCTGCATCCTTCTCTCTCTTGCCAGGGTCCATACTTGCTCTAACACCTGCTTCTGTGAGAGACAAAAGTGTTACCAAAAGATTTGATCCAGAAAGCACTTAATGGGAACACTGCACATGTTTGAGATCAGTGGCAATATTCAGGTACTCCGTGTTTAAACAATATATTTGAGTTCTTTGCTGGAATGAAAAACAGAGTCCATTGCCAGGAAGCCTGTGTCTCACATCCCTATATGCTTTGTATGGTTGATTTCTTCAAGTCTTTTCTGTCATCTCCTCCTGTTCTATCCTATACACAATGCATGGAAGGGGTAGAGTCTGTACTGGCAGTGTGGTGAAGCAAGTGCAGTGGCCAGTCAGATGTTTCAAGTGCAGTCACAGAGGTCTAATTTCCTCCATCATACATGGAAAGAGTTGAAGAATAGAGTGTGCAAAAGCTAGCACATTAACTGGTAGGAATTAAGAAGTAAGACAACTTACTAAACCTCCTTTCCCAAGGCTTGGGTGCCTTCTTCTGGGCTGTAGGAAGGCAGCTTCTTGCACATGTCATTTGAGGCCCCAAGATCCTCACAGAAGTGTTTGACTGGGCCTTCCAGCAAAAGGTAGCTAGGGAAGAGAGGTTGTCTCATTTTTATGCAGCATCTCAGCATTTCAGCTGTGAGCACCAGATATGTGTGACTGATTGTCTCATTTGACTGAGGGTGTTTCAACTCATGTTTTCCCAAAGGGTGTCCAAAGTGCCAGTCTTAAGGTTTTCTGGGGCACAGTGAATATCTGGATGCTCCACTTTTAAAGCTAGAAAGTTAAATAACGTAGTTTAGCTGTTCAATTTGGGACATGAGTTCTAGGCTTTGTTCTCATTTTTCACTGTTTTATGTGATGTGTTCATTTGAACAGGAACTGCTAGGATTAGAAATCTTGCCTTACTCTCCTTCCCAAAGTGAAACAGCTTTGGCTGGTGGGAATAACATTAACCTACCTCAGAGTGTCACAGTGCAGAAAGTGGTGTGTTCTGCTCACAAATAGAGAAAGGAAAGTTCAGCTCTGAACTCCTGTGCTCTGGGTGAGTGATCTAGCCACCAAGCTTTGGGATAGAAGAGGGTTTCATCAGCTGCATGAGCAGTGTTGCAAACATTTTTATTTCAGAGGTTTAGTATGAGTGTGAGTGGAAGGAACAACAAATCCATGAATCTTAGTCAGGATTAAGCGTGAGATAGGACTCAATCTATTCAGCATCATGAAAACATCTGAAGAAAACACCTTTAGATGCTTGGGTAACTTTCATGTCAGAGATTTAGCATTTTTAAGATACAGATGTTTTTATGATTAGATCCAGCTTGTGGATTTTGAAGGTTAACACTTTGGACCTAAATGACAAATAGAATCTATGTCCTGCCTCTTATGACTTTATTTTGTAGTGATAATCAGTAACTGAGGCTTATATATTAACTACCAGATAGTTAAAAAGCAACACCTCTAAAACTTAATTGTTACTTAGCCTTTGGCTTTTTGTGCCCAAGATTCACATTCTATTTGCTACTGAAAAGTCAGATGCTGCACGTGCATTTCCCATTAGATGTAAGCCTCTTGCTTTTTTGTGCTTGTTCTGTCCTTCCTTACAAGTAGCCTAATTGCCAACCTGAACCCTAGCTAAGAACATATATGCTCCCTATTAAAGGGACTATATTGCTTTCTTTGTAGGCTGATATGAATAGGAAGCAGTGCAGCATTATTGACTCTCCTGTACCTGTAATAATCCATAATTGTAATCACTGTTTAAACTGTAATGCAGCAGGGTGACCTTTTTCATTTTGTTAATGTTTCTTGAATTCTTTCATAGATTTGCTTGATTTGCAACCAGCCCCAAACAATGGAACTCATGGCCGCCTAAACCATCTTTTAAGGAACCCTGTTTACACCCCCCACCATCCCAAAGAAATGAGCCCTCCTTCCGAATGTTCAGCTGTGGGACAAAGGACCTTTTCAGTGAGCCTTGGCTGCTCCTGTACGACTGCTGTGAGTACTGGAGTGGTTGACGTTGTGCAAGCAGGGGGCTGTGTTGTATGCAAACAGTGAAACTGGGAATTTTCTACTGTTTGTTTACCCTGTAACTTTGCTGCCATGGTTCTCATTGAGTACTAATTGGTATCAAAATCAGATCTTTACATGGGTTATTCTGGGATAGTTGCATTTATCTATTCATTTTTGCCATTTTCTTGTGTAAAGTCATGTTCAGCTGCGAAGAGCTTGGAAAATGCTTCAGAAGTAAACTTTGCTGGTGAAAGCATTAAGTTCTTGCTTCCTTCACTTAATTAGGTGGAAAGTTCCCTTCTGTAAATGTGTTGTTTTTGGGCTGTGGCTTTCAAGCCTGTAGGTTTGTTTGTGGCAAAAAGATTCTGCAAATTCTCCATGGCTAATCTCCAGTAGACATCAGGGAGTTCCAAATACAGATAACTGGCAAGGCAGCCGTGTTATATTTGTTACTTTACTGCAAGCATAATAATGGCCGGTAATGTGCTTTATAAAAGATGTAGTCTAATCACAGTGCGTTTTTTTGTTTGTTT